TGACTTCCCTGAAAATATGATGCTCCTTGTCTGAAAAACATCGAAAACAGCAGTATCATGTTATCACAGTATTGGTCCAGTAATGAAATAGAAGAAGGCCTTCCTTTTTGGCTCTGTAGCAATAGAGGATTAAATATAAAAATACTTACCAACTGCACTTTCACCCAACAAAACCAATTTAAACTGGCAAGTTTTGCTTGGACCGCCTGTATTTCCGGAACGCATCACTGTTCGCCCAGCCATGGACTGTTTTCCTTAAGTTAATTGAAATCATTATAAATACAAAACTTTTCTACTAAGAGGAATGTAACGAATGACTGGTAACACAGAGCAAAATTTGTTTGTTAGTTAATCAATTTCTACAGAGTGAGAAAAAATTTGATGGAAAAACTTTACATAGTTCCCCACCGAACAAACAACGAATTAATTCTTTGTGATAATCATAATTGTGATGAAGTAGTCGATATCACTGATCATGCATGAGATTTCTATTTCTTACAACAATGATAAAGTAATGACAGTACTATACAGCTAAAAAGTGCAACTTTAAATGCGACGCTCATTTTAAAATTCCATTAATGGCAATGAGTTCAACAGTGATTTTGTTTTAAAAAAATTCAATACACAGAATGTTGGGCATTAAAATAGAAAAGCATACATCTAGAATTACAGGTATTTTTTTCCTTTAAAGCAAAGGGAAACAGAGGTTGAATATTACAACCTTCAGGGAAGCAGTGAGGCAAGAACTGTTATTTACACCGTTGAAGATGCAAAGAACGACTTTAATGTGATAGAAGAACAGATGAACTCTAAAGAAGTCGAACCTGACCTCACTTCCGTCCGTTCAGTAGCATACAGATAAGACACGGGTAAGTACGTCACCAAAGTTTTCTCGCTAGTCGTCTCTCAACCGGAATGATGCCACTGTGAGATTAATATAGTAAGGTAACTAACACAAGTGAGGGTAATACGTAATGGGCGTGTAATGCTGCGTGTAAAGAGGAGTTGGAAGTTACGTAAACGTAGAAGATGTGGACTGTACAGAGTGAGAGAATAATCAGTGGATAGAAACAGAAATGATATTAGAGATTACTGTTGGTGATATTAGAGCAGATTTGGAAGTTGGTCTTTAGAAGGGACTACATGAAGTGTGTCTAAACATGTTATGCTCCATCTTTTCCCTTTGCTGTTCTTTTCGTCTTCCCTCCATTACCTAAGGGTAATCAAAATCACTGAGGTTGTTCAATGGAACAGCTAAATTCAATAAACAAACAAACAAACAAACAAAAATATTTGTTAGCAAAGTGCTGCATGAAGAGCCAAAGAGTAAAATATGACAAAAAAAGCAAAATATAATATGATCTGCTGAAAATGATACTGTTTTAAGCGCTGTTTTCTATCACAGTCAAATTTATTATTCAGAGTTTTTAAACCGATCTTCTTGAATTAGTTGTAAATCTAAGTTTTGAAGAATCCATCAAAGAGAAAAAAAAAATAATGGAAAACCATTCTTGTTTTGACTTATCGGTTGGAGCTGATATTGTGTACTTCACGAATAATAAAGAAAATACAATTCCAAAATACTATATTCCATAACATTGGCGAGAAATGAGAATTACAAGAATAAAGTAAGAAAATCGAACCTTTTTTGAATTATTGTTGAAAATAAGATAAAGTGTATCTAGCGCTTAATTGTGAAGCACATCGAGTTTCTCTCCAGTGGTCACAAAAATGATAACCAAAAACTGGATATCCATGAAAAATATTTGTTACATGAGCGGAAACATGTGATTTTCATAATGAAGGAATCGTCATTTTCCATCATTTCATTAATTTCCAAAACGAGCAGTGCATGAGACAATGAATATAAGCGTATCACACCACGACGATAAGAGTGGACAGCATTCATTCTGAAGTCTCCGTTCAAAAATCCATGGATTAAGTTCGTAATAACAATCTAAAACACTTTTTCTCATTAAATATTCTTTTCATAAAGCACTTGATGCCACTCACGATTTGACCTTAGGTCCATACTGTGAACCATCGAGGTTATATGTCATAATCTGATGCGTCAAGGTGACAATATTTTGTTTTGTCAGAATCAAATCCATCCTTCATTAACCCTAGATCTTTTTCCACTAAAGATATCCTCGATCATTCACAGTGTATATTCTCCAAATTTGGTGTTTGCGATTTATAGTTTTGTAACTAACTATGCTGGGTATCATTTTCTTGCTTCTCGTACCTAATATTTTAACTTATAATGGTAAGATTCCTTTTTTCCATCCCTTTTTCTAAATCAAAGATTTAATTAAGTATTGTGGTACCATTAATTTTTTTTTTTTTTTTTTTTGATTTTTTTATTGGCAGAAAAAAAAAACAATTATAAATAGTTTATTTTCATGAACTATCAAGACAATTTCTTCAAGCCAATGAAACTTTTTTTCACATTTAAACGCATTACAGAAAGAAATAAGTCACATTGCGATTTCGTAGCAGAACAATGGATTGTTGAGAAATGTCTGATTCCATTATTGGACAAATTTTATTTCGAGCCACTTTTTTTTGAGAAATCATTTGCTGATGCACAATCGATACTTTGTAAATTATATAGCGAATATAAGAACTGTACCAGTGATTATGATTGCAGGTCGCTTTTCCCTTTTTAAAATAAAGTAAGGTGTTTGTCTGAATATCATCAAGCTTCATAATTTGCTTTTTCTGCTTTTTAGAGAATTCTGGATCCGGTTCTAGAAATGGAACCGGAGTCTGTTAATTTAGAAATTCACTGCAACAGTAAACGAAACGAATAAACGATGTTCTTGCACAAATTATAAATTTCAGAACATTAAATGATCAATCGGATCATTTTCTCACTGAGATATGCTCTGATAGTTTACAAAAACAGTTGCGTGAACATTACGCTTGCTTCAATAGCTTTAGAAATTACTTTATATTTTCTCCGGAATGCTTCGATAATAGCTCCCTTCATTCCAATCAAGAAACAACTCTTTTCCAAAGTGTTAGTTTTGAAGTTATTATCAGACAGTTTTTAATTTTTTTAAGAATGTTTTCTTTTCCCTATTAATTTGTTTTTATCTCAGAAGGCACTATTAAGCAGCATTTATTTCTATTTTGAATCAACAATTCCTCTCATAATAACTTTGAACAGAAAAAGTATAATTATTCGTTTCGTTATCCTCATTCATATTCTGCATGGAACGCTTTAATCGTCTTAGTACCAAAGACATCAAAAGGCGAATAATTATTCCTTCGTATTGCAAAAAAACAATTTAGAGAAGTCGTGATCATGAACATTTGGAAATTATTTCATTTATTTCTCTGCAAGGAAATAAATTAAAAAAATCTGAGATTAGTGAAACAGCAACGCGAAATCCTTTCAAGATTGATCATTTATCAGACTTCTTGTTTTTTATGCGAATTAAAAAGTTTGATAGGAAAAAATCCATCAACAGGGGTATGACGTCATCTAAGCTAATGATCTTGCTCTGGTTTCCAACGATAAACAATTTCTACTTCAGGGTCAAGATACATTCTAGTGAGATGACCCTGTAATTCCTAATATCAAATAATTTCAAATTTATTTCTCTAAGGTCTTACTATAAACTCAATTGCTCTCTTTATGAAAAGCAGCTTTTGTGGCATAATTTTCCAAAACATGGAAAAATGCTACATTTATGTCCAATTAAGTTTATTTTGATTCGTTTTTGAATATACAGAACGCCATTTGAATGCGAAATTAGAGCAATTAATATTTGTAAATAACGTACATAAATTCATTCAAGATCTAAGTGAAATAATCTTTTGCAGTTGTGTCAAAGTAGTCCTTTCTACTCACCTAATTGATGAAAGTTAGGAATTTCAATATTTTTAAATGCTTTCAAATAGTTTTAAGTGAGATCATATTATTACTATTTAATGATGACGGTTTTCTCAAATAATGAAGTTTCAAATCTTTAGGAATACGAACACAACAAAGTCGAAGGGCGCAAATGTCGCATTGTGCAGTGGTATCTTAATTGTAATCTCACCAATGCTTACAACAAAACATGTTCTGCTGTTGCTCAGGTTTTTCATTACATAATCATTAATTACCAAGTAGTAATTACTTAGCAATTACTAATTCATTTGTCTCCGGTGATATCATCTTCCATCCAAAGATTTCTGGCAATAAACAATTTCAGTTGATAAGTTAACATCAGATTCTTGTACATTCTGTACTGAAATCATGCAGAATTTGGTTAAATCTTTTGGAATGTAAACTTTTAGCTTCTTAAAATTTTTCCCAATGTCTTATTTGTGATGTAGATACTAGCTTTGACTATTTTTTCGATTACATTTCTTTAAATATTATTTCCAGATTATGCGAAGCTACTATGAATTGCTTCTAAATTCCAATCAAAATTCATGCGATTTGCGGAAGTTCAATTTTAATTTATCAAGTTTAAATCTTACCGATCCAGAAAATATTACTCAGTTGAGCGGAAACTCCAGTAAAATTAATAGCTCGTTAGGAGGTATATTGCATTTTTCATTGTATTATTAAATAATTCGTTTTTACACATTTGGAAGGTAATATATATACTCACTGCAATTATTTTTACTTCAGAAATAATTTTTATCCAATTTAAACTTCAAGCAGTGAGAACACTGTTTTTTTTTTTAAACAAACTTTTTAACAAACAAACGAAATCTCGGAATATGTCATTTTAAATTAATTAGATTATTAGAAATTGAATTTTTCAACTTTGCGCGTTATTTATATCAATTCTTTCAGATTTATTAAATCCAAAAAATAAAAATAACGAACGATGCGATATATTCAGTGAACGATACATATTGGAAGCAGCAAGAGAGTTGAGAAAATATGAATATCTCCTGTACCGATTGTTCCGGATTCCTTTCAATCAATTAATCGAGAGAACTCCTTGTTTAGATTACAAAATTTACAAGAAAAATGTTCAGGGTATTAGTTCCCAATGCAGGTTTGCATTTCTGTTTTGGCAGCATATAACCATGTGTTCCGTATGGTACTAAAACTGGCACAGATTCAAATCTGTGTAAGCTCATTCAGTCTTACATTTTTGTATTAATCAGGAAGTATCAATATTTCAGCTACTTTTCAGGAAAATGAATACACATCTGGAAAAGATTTATGATTATTACTGTAGCAATAGCTTCATTAATTCATTATTAAATCAAGAAAGCTGCATAGAAAAGCTTCATTCAATTTGTAATCAAAGTGATTGCTCAAATGTTGATCTTTTCTCAGATGCATATAATTCTCTTTTGAAAACGGTTCTTTATTTTGCTTCATACTTAAAATATTAAAATATCAGTATTAAAGCCTTTCAATTTAATTTACCTTAAGGTTACCAGCTGACTGGTATAATCATTATTTGATTTCACAACTGCTCTTGCAAATACTTTACAACTAATGATGTCTTGAAATATAAAGATTGGATGATTATCGTTTCATTTCATTTTTTTTTTTTTTTAATTCAAGACATTTTTTAAACTTAGGAAAGAATTTTAAATAAGAAAACATCTGATTTCTCATCTGAATGGTGTAACTTTGCCAAACGATACCTTGGCTGTGGAATCACTGAATCTTTTTACGAAGTATGTCCAAAAACTGCAGAGGTTTGTTATTTTTATTGAGTAATCCAACTGCTTGAAATTTTACCATTTCGAATCTCTTTTAGTATTTTGACACTTTTTTTGTAACAATTTTGAAAGAAGGGGAATTTTTTTGAAAAAAAGATTTTGTAATGACAGGTGCAGAATTTATTGAACTCAATAAAATTAGAAATGTATGATTCAAATGTTTTATGGCTGTCTCTAATAAATTCTTAAATGATTGTCGTAAACAGTTTATTTCTTTTTTTATAGGCTTTGCAAAACTACTTTGAGATACTGATTAATCCGAATAATAGCAACTGTTATTTGCGGCAACCAACGGCTAACCATAATGAAATTGTTTTTGGTCGGTTAATTCGGCAACTAACAGCTGATCTGAATGAAACCGTTCCTGATTGGTCAGATCGACAACCAACAGCTGATCTGAATGAAACCGTTCCTGATTGGTCAGATCGACAACCAACAGCTGATCTGAATGAAACCGTTCCTGATTGGTCAGATCGACAACCAACAGCTGATCTGAATGAAACCGTTCCTGATTGGTCAGATCGACAACCAACAGCTGATCTGAATGAAACCGTTCCTGATTGGTCAGATCGACAACCAACAGCTGATCTGAATGAAACCGTTCCTGATTGGTCAGATCGACAACCAACAGCTGATCTGAATGAAACCGTTCCTGATTGGTCAGATCGACAACCAACAGCTGATCTGAATGAAACCGTTCCTGATTGGTCAGATCGACAACCAACAGCTGATCTGAATGAAACCGTTCCTGATTGGTCAGATCGACAACCAACAGCTGATCTGAATGAAACCGTTCCTGATTGGTCAGATCGACAACCAACAGCTGATCTGAATGAAACCGTTCCTGATTGGTCAGATCGACAACCAACAGCTGATCTGAATGAAACCGTTCCTGATTGGTCAGATCGACAACCAACAGCTGATCTGAATGAAACCGTTCCTGATTGGTCAGATCGACAACCAACAGCTGATCTGAATGAAACCGTTCCTGATTGGTCAGATCGACAACCAACAACTGATATGAATGAAACCGTTCCTGATTGGTCAGATCGACAACCAACAGCTGATCTGAATGAAACCGTTCCTGATTGGTCAGATCGACAACCAACAGCTGATATGAATGAAACCGTTCCTGATTGGTCAGATCGACAACCAACAGCTGATCTGAATGAAACCGTTCCTGATTGGTCAGATCGACAACCAACAGCTGATCTCAATGAAAACATTGCTAGTTGGTGCTTATTTGTAATTCAACTCTTACATACTAAAATGTTTATTTTTTTATCAATCATAATAGATAATATCACCGGTACAATTCAGAATATCAATGATCATCAGGCTTAACAAAGGAAGAATACTTTTAAGAGGAAGAATTTTAAATTCCTAATAATTAATGATCAACAGTAATTTTTGATTAATGGTAAGTTGTGGAAATAAATAAATATTTCATTCATGCAAAAGTTGACTCCGGAAATATTATAAATGTTATAGATGCTAGCAGTAATTCTGATCTCCAGACATGTAATAATTGCAAAGTAATCAAATGTCCAGAGGGTTTCTATTATAACAAACATTTGGCAAAATGTGTTGGTAAGTACGATAGCTCACTTTTATCCGCGGAATCATCACGAACCGATATCTTTTGCATATTTTTAGAGAAGAATTTCATAGTTCAATTTAGTGATTTGATATTAGTTTTAAGTAATTTAGGAACATTTGAATGATTATTCAGCTTTAAGATAATCTTGAGATTTGAGACTTTTTCTTACTTTTAATTCTTTAATCAACAGTCATTTTAGAAAGTTCACTTCAAGTTTTAAATTGCGAGTCGTGGCAATTTCACTTAAATGTGGAAAATATTATTATGATGTTGAATGATTTGATAAAAATAGTGATAGAAACAAAGTAAAAATGAAAAAATTCGACCATACTTATACCTTATAGATCATACTTATCATAATTATATCTTATTGAGATTTAGATGTAGATGAATGCGCATCCAATAAACATTTTTGTTCGCAGAAGTGTATCAATAAGCAAGGTAGCTATGATTGTGAGTGTTTTGGCCCTTTGTATAGACTGGCTCGAAATAATCGTCGGTGCTATCGAACTGATAATGGTTATTCGTTATATTTATTACTTTAATTTTTTTCAGTAATGCTTGTTTATAGAATGGCTTAGTAATATTTTTTTGAACAAGAGCAAATTCATTAAGTGAGGTATTTCAATTTCAAAAATATTATAAGCGATAAGGGAGTAATAGACATGTAAACCTGATGATATACTTCCAGAATCCGTCGTGTTTTTCTTGGCTCATTCTCATAGTGTATGGAATATAACATATAATGCAAAATCTCAGCTTAAGTTGGTACCTAGCAATAGAGCTGAAAAAGTGGCCATGTTCGACTACGACTTGAAGGTAGATCATTTCATAAAAAAGATTCACTATTGTTTTTTAACCGCTTTGAAAATTTTGAATCTTTTCAGAATTTCTTCATTGTTTTCATTTGTATACACACAAAAAAAAAAAGAGTTATAGCATTAAATTGTGTTCCAGGAAAAGAAATTATACTATGTGGATCTAACGAGAAATTCAATTCAGTATGTAAATTTGCTTGATAGAAACAGAGTACATATCATACAAAACCATGATATTGAAGGTACAGAAGGAATCGCTATTGATTGGATACATAGGTTACTAACTTACTTTAATCGTCATAGCATTATTAAACTAAAATATAATAAGGTTTTTTTTTTTCATGTAAAACTATTTAGAAACAATTCTAACTCTCTTAATAGCAACGGCAATGATGATAGTATAGTGAAAATGCAATAGCTTCAAAAATCTATCAGATCTTATGGATTACAATTGAAAGCATAGGGCATTTCATCAAATTATCAATTCGATCATTGATTTAATAATTTACATGAAGTAGATTTTAATAATTTACATTCTTTCAAAGGCACAGTCATGTCTGCTTCTGAAAGAAAGTGAAAAAAATTAAGCATAGATTTGAAATAATGTTAAAAAAAACGAGATCAGGTACCATTCAGGAATTTGTATACTCTACGTTACAAGCAATTACATGTGCAACGTCTTGATGGTCTTTATAGAGCATTACTTTATGATGGATTTTTTCAATTGCCTCGAGCTTTGGTCGCTTATCCTTCGATACGGTTCTTTTTTCTTTCCTGGAAAACATTTCATAGTTTTGAAGTTACTTTGTAACTAATATTGAACTAACATTTCCTATCTGCAATAATCAAGCAGCGTAACTAATACTAAAAAAAAACTGACACTATTCATCCGGCATTCATTGCAGTATCAGATTGTAAATGGTGGGACCTTCATGTTTTCTTCTATATAATGTGACAATTGTCAAGCAAAATTTGGCTAAATTAGATGATATCTTGCTTAAGTAGCATAAGATTCAACTTTTTCCTTGTGCTTTGTCTACTCTCGAAACACTCTCCTCGAAAATAGGATATAAAATTGTTAGAAATTCTTGTGATTCATGGTTCTCCATGCAAATACATTCTTTACAGTGAACTGTTTGCAAGCGACTGGGGAGTGAAACCATTTATAGTCCGTCTTGCTATGGACGGTACTCAAGCAAAAAAGATCGTCACTGAAAGTTTAGTTTGGCCAAATGCACTAGCTATCGATTATTTCGCAGAACGTCTTTACTGGGCCGATGCTTTCCGCGACGTTATTGAGTTCATTAATTTTTTTAAATGTTTTCTGGTTAAGGCGAAGATTATATTATATAAATTTCCGATTAGTATCATAATTTGAATGTAGCAGGAAGAACTCCTCATTTAAAATTTTCTTATGATTTTTATTCTAACCTTTAATCTAGAATGGCAAATTTGGATGGAACGGGTCGACGAACTGTAATCAGTGACGATAAGTTGGTGCCGCATGTTTTCGGATTAACGATATTTGACGATACGATCTTTTGGAGCGACTGGACTCGTCGTGGAATTCTTTTTGCTAATAAACTTACCGGTCAAAACTCAACAAGGCTGATGGAGACTGTATTGCCACCGTATTCCCTCAAGGCATATCATCCTTTTATGCAAATGGAAGGTATGCCATAATCTTTTTTGTAATACTTACGTGAATAAATAAAAAAAGCTTCTAGATCTAAAAAACAAGCTTCAAAATTTACTAGAATCCTACCAGTTTGCTGTGAAATGTTTTTTCATTCAATTACAACTTAATTATACTTCAGCTCCTAATATTTGTGAAGTGACAACATGCCAACATATCTGTGTACCGAAGCTTGACGGTTCAGGACAGCAATGTCTATGCGCCGAAGGATTTATCATGCATGAAAGCGGTCTTTGTGAACCAAACTGTACGAAACATCAGTTACTGTGCTCACGGCCGGATCACAAGTATCATTTTCGAATTAAATAATTTTTTTCTTTTTTTGAATTAATAATTAAGGAATCAGAGAAAATTTGTTATAAGAATTCTTCCTGCTAGAAACAGATCTAAATTCAATTCCTGTTTTATAGACATTCAGTCTTATTGCGATCAACTTTGAGCAAAAATTTTCAGAATAGTAATATTTTTCTATCGCAAATGATTTGAAATTTTACGGATCATTGGTTTCATCTCATTGATTTTAGATTTGGCACATAAAAAAGTTCGCTACTGTTGCAAGCACTAAATATTCACGTTATAGTAATACAGTAGAAACTTACCATTTACGAAATATAATTAATTAATCTTCTGACATATTATCAATCCAAAAGAGTTCACTTCCGCCCTTCTCGTTTGTTCTTTTGGTCTCTTCTATTTATCGGAAATATCATTTTTCTTCTCTTTTTTTTAGGGATAAGTCTATTTACATCGTAAATTAAATGTCAAATTTTTCAAGATAAGTATTTCAGATGTCTCAATTTAATATATCGGTGTGATGAATCGTACAATTGTAGAAATGGAGATGATGAAATGGAATGTCGTAAGTGTTTCTTCATTCCCTTCTTTATGAAAACTATTTCTTTGTATCAGTGTTAAAAAATAAGTGTTCGAAATGTTTTTGCTTTTGAATTCTTTGGCTTTCTTGAATTTGTTTAAAGTTTATTAATACAAATTGTTGCAGCTGTATCGATTTGCATGCATGATGAGCGCATGTTCCCTTGTCGTGATAATCGTAAATGTATTTTGCGATCGCAACGATGCGATGGTTTCGTAGATTGCTATGATGAATCGGATGAATTTTATTGTGCTGATTTAGCTATAGCTTGGAGCCATTAACTGCTCCATAATTGTTGGCTAAGATATGATAAAAACATCATTTCCAATTGCTACTATCATCGTAATACTAATTGCAAACAAGTCTGAAACCAAAATTAGGATTGTATACGACACATCCTCACACCAAAAAGAAGGACAGAGTCTGAATGATATATTTATACCCGAGGACCCATAATTCTTCTCGATTTAGTAGAAGTATAATGATGGAAATTGTGATGGCCTTTTTGCATTTCTGCAATTGCAGTTACTGTCGGTAAATCGAAAAATTCTTATTACACACTAAATGGTTTAGAATAATGCTAATGATTCATCACTATAAACCAATTCGTTATTCCTTTGTTATATCCCATTTTTTTGAAACGGTGAATCCTTTATCTAAACCCCAAATAGTAAATGTACATCTGTCTTCTTTGTTCTTCATTGTAAATGTTAGCCAAGCCCACTTCCTACACCCTTAAAAATCTTCTCTAATCAGTTAATAACAAAGAAACAATCGATGGCAGTCTTCTCGTCCTCCTTGATATCTGGGTTGATCTTGCTCGTAGACAAGAAACAAAAGGTTCAGTTCAACTTCTACAAACCTAAAGTAAATCAAGTAAATTTAACTAACCTAAATCATCTACTCCTCTGACCAAAAAGTTAATTCAAATTCATCACAGCTGTAGCTTTTTTACGATTTGTCACGTTTATCTAAAAAAAAAAAAAAAAGTATTCTTCATTTTTTATATGAATTCTTGTAATAGCAATAAGTTCTATTATGAAAGAAAATCTCTATGGGTAACATAGTTTTCCTATTTTTTTTAATTACTGTATACATTTTGAACAGTAATACTTTGCATTTCAATTTAATAAAATTGAAATACTTTTTATATATTAAGAAATCCTTCCATTACTTCAATAGTTTATTTTTTACGAACATTTTTGACTTAAATACAATTGATAAGTAGTTTAAATGATATTAACCTGTTTTCAACGAGTGTAATTTTGGTTATTTACAACGTTTAAAGAAATTGATGCTTTGGCACAACGAAATGATGCTTATAATTACAAAAATGTATGGATTGGAACTGCTGTTTAAATATCTGTAAATATGAAGTCACGAAAAATTAGTAACAAAAAGCAAAAATAAATCGTCCATAAAAAGAAGGTGAAACAGGAAGAAAAAAATCTCGGTTCAGAAATGCCTAAATTTAGAACGAAAAATATGAAAAATACAAGTAACTTGACTTGGTTGACTCCACATGGAGCAAAAAAAAAAGTAAAGAAAACCAAAAATAAAACAGGTAAAAATTTAAAGTATTTCTGGTTCATAATTTCCGTACAAATTGGCCAAGAATAAAAATTTAGCCAAATATTTCTTTAACACAGAATTATCAGCCCGACATTCATATATATCACATGCCAATGAATCAGGCAGGTCTGACAATTGAACTGCAATTTCTTTTCATCGAATTTGAAAAATAAATTTACAAAGTTTTACAAAAACAAAAAATTGCATTGATTGGTGCATAAATAATTTTTCAATTTTAAATTTGAGCTTTTTATCGTTTAACTGTTATATTATTAATACCTTTTTCGAAAGTTTACAGCAAAATGATAAATCACAAATTTTTAAATCTTATATGAAGCGATAAGTCGATGTAAGTAAATATATTTCAAATAAAAAAGCGAATTTGTTTATTCATATCAGTTTTTTTTCGATCTAAAATTAATGTATTTGGAAAGTTCAATGAGAATTATAAATATTTAAATTTATCTGGGATTTTGCTTGACAGTCGATAAGCAATAATGCTATAAATTACTTGAAATATCGATTATAAATTATAAAATGTTAACGAAATGATGCAGTACGATTTTTTTTACATCTAAGTCAAGCAATAATCTATGTAATTAAAAATATTTTTAACACAAAAATGAATTTGCTTATTAATTTTAGCTTTTAGTTTAAGGTGCTTAAATAGTAGCAAAATCGAAATTTGATTGAATTATAGAAAAATATTGAATTCTCTAACCATTTTTTAATTTCTGGCAAGGATTTTACCACAATATAGTCATAAATACATCAAATATTAATCATAAATGATTAAACAGTAACTAAATGATAAAATACAAACTTCATTAAGCGAAAAATCGATGAAATTAAACATATTTCTGGCAAAAAAATGAATTTGATCACTAATTTTAGCTTTCCAGTACTTTTAAATTCTCGCTTGATGTGATTTTCGATTAGTTTGCATAATGAATTTGATAATTTTAGGGCGCTTAAATGGTAGTAAAACCGAATCATCATTAAATTACAAAAGTATTTTGAATTTTTTGAGCATTTTATTTGATAATCGATATGATCTTCAAATTTCCGGCAAGAATTTTGCCACAATATTATTATAAATTACGTTGAATATCAATTGCAAATGATAACGAAGTGATAAAATAAAAGTATTATCAACCTAAATCAAGCTATAAATCCATGTAATTAAAAATATTTGTAGTACAAAAAGTGAATTTACTTATTAATTAGCTTTCCAATGTCTAAAGTTTTTGGTTGATATAATTTTCAATTAGACTGCATAATGAATTTGATAATTTTTTCAATTTCTGCATCACTTGAGTATTGAACTTTCGTTTCCAGGAAAAATTTTCTTGCTTATTAATAACAAAGAATTTTATTAGCCTGGAAATTTCAATAATGAAAATTCAAATTTTTCTTCTGTTGATGAATGATTACATCGTTGAAGCATTCAAAGGAGTGTTGCAGTACGAAGAATGTCAATCTGTTGACAGCCAGCTGGAAATTTTGCAATGAATAATGTATTTGTTGATCATATCCTTTAATGCTGATATAAATTTTACTGTAGTATTGAAGATTTCCATTGTCTCTGCAATTATCTTTGACTTTTAAACACGTATATAAGTGAATCTACGTGATATTACGGAAGAGTGCAGTTTGAGTAAGTACATAGATAGGATAGAAATGTTTACTGTGTAGTACTACTACAATGTAACATTTCTAACATGGATAAATCTACCAACGGACTTTACCATTGCATTTACAACATACAGCAAAGTAAACATCATTGAAAAATTCTTGGTCTTTTGATCGAGGAGGAATGTTGTAGCTCCAAAATTATAAAATGATGCGAAAAAATAGACGAAGAGATCTTCAAATGTGTTCCACATATATTTCCGGATTAGATTTCATTTTTTCACCGTAAACGGAAATTTGTGTTTTGTAAGTGGGAGTGAGGAGTAAAGGAGTGGAAGATAGGTTAGAAAGCAATTTCTCTTGCTGATTTCCTTCCTGAAATTTTAAGTCCGAAAGGAGAATTGTTTACAATTCGTTTTTTTTTTTTTTTAATCTGGCTGTTCAGGAAAAAGATTCTTGATTGAATATCAACAACGACTATGCTGAACTTCTTGTTGGTTTCATAGTATTCATTGTGTTCGGAACGAGACATCAAGAGTACTTAAGCTAAATTGTATAAATGACATCTCAACAATTATTAGATCAGCTTAACGATTATTACTTATAAAAATGACATCAGAATGGAAGCACTAAGTTGCACATTTTTACCTTAAATATGGTTTATATAACTAAGCGTATCGTTGCATTTTGTTGTATGAATTAAATATTCTCATACATACATATAACAGCGTAAGCAGAAGTTAAGGGTTCTTTTTTTTGTACTTCTGCAACATCCATCATTTCTTATATATATGCTGAAATAGAAGCATATAATGTAATATGTTTACTGCATTATAAAAAGCAAGAGAAACAAAAGTTAAGCAAAAAACTTCGCGATAACAACAAAAGCAACTCCTGCAATAACTTATATAATTTATATAAAATATTTTTCAACAACACAGCTTATCACAATCAGTGAGAAGCAGAAAATGATACACAGACCATAACAATTAAACGATGTCATTCCCTTTTCTTTCACTTGATCACGAAAAAGTAAGTTTCCAAATGATATTTATGGGACACATCGACCAACAAAGCGTGGGTAAAGACACACATCGCGAATATGATTGGTGTTTGTTAACCAACAAATAAAACGTTCCAAGCCAAGTCCATAGCCACCATGAGGACAGGTGCCATATAAACGTTGATCCAAGTACCAGTAATACGGTTTCGGGTCAATTTCCACATTTTTAAAAGCTTTCGATAGTTCATCGAACTAAAATATACAAAGAAATTGTAAAGAGAAAAAAAAAAAAAACGAAAAAAATGAATAAGAAAACTCTAGAAAATTCCTTTTTTGAAATATCTATTAGTGAAGTTTTGAGAGTAATATACCTTCCAAATTCTCATACTGCCACCAACAATTTCGCCAACGCCAGGCATAAGAAGATCAACAGATTCTGTTAAGGTATTATCCTTTGCATCCCTCTGCATATAAAATGCCTTAATTTCGCTCGGGAAACGATTCAGTAGAATAGGCTATAAAATAATTCACAAATATAAACAAAAAGAGGAGTAAAAATTATTTCTGTTAATTCGAATCTCTGGAACTATCAAATTCTGTTCAAAATATATACCTTTCCTATTATATTCTTGCTATAGTCAAAAAAATGAATAAATCATTTTTCACATTGGACACAAGCATTAAAGTCAATTTCTTAAAACTAGTTACAAATTCTAACTCCAAACAGCAGCGCCTAATTTAAATGTACCCAAAAATAATTCCGCAAATACTCACCTTATTGATGGTATCAGTCATGAAACGTTCCGCTGCTTCAGCAATATCTTCCCCATAAGTAAAAGTATTACCAAATTCATTCTCAACATTGTGTTCTTGCAACCATTTAATAGCATCCTTGTATTCCATTCTTAAAAATGGTCTTTCTGGCGGTTGAAATTTCTGCAAAAAGAGGATAAAAGGCAATTATCATTGATAAACAAAGGAAAACGTAAAGTATCAGTGAAAGAAAACTCCTCGTATATATATTATAACTCTTATAATAACTCTAATAAAGAACAACCTTATTAACTATATGTT